TCTCCATTCAGAGATTACAGAAATGCATCGCTTTCGGTGTAATTAAATCCTGGCGGCGCCTCCAAATTGATAATTGATAATAACGTTATCATATAAAACATGACCGACCACACGTGTTTTTCAATTTTGGGGGGCGTCCTGCTGTTTTTATTGATAAGAAATGGACACATGACGGCCTCCCGGTATCGCATCGTTGACCTAATAATTCAGAGCTAAATTGATTGTAAATATTTTGATTATTTTATATACTTTGTAGTAGTTGAATTTTGTATTTCGTTTATCAGTTTGTTGCAGAATTGAATTTTTTATTGCACGTTTGGAATTTGATATGAATATCGAAGGAGATGTTTCCTTTCGCCAAAAATCATATTTGCTAATTTTGTTTTCTCAACGTTTCAAATCATTTTGCAGCGATTTTGAAGTAAATTTGGGTATAAGTATATGTGTTTGTAAGCCAAAAACATCTCAACCGATTTAAAAAATTTAGAAGCCATGTGATGGATCTCGATTGGAATCACGTTAGTTAGTTTTTCTAGACTATTTTTCTCCGCAATTTTAATAAAAATCCTGAATCAACTAGGACAATTTAAAATACGTGCGATCAATATCAGTTGGGAATTGTCCTGATTAGGTTTGGAAAAAATCGGTTGGGCAGTTTCTCCGTATTTAACTGTTGAAAAAAAATTTTTCAATGTTACTTTTTATGTATATATATCATGATCCTAAAGAACGTACTAAAATAATACAAGTCGTTTATTTTAAATATTTACCATTTTTAACTTTCCGTAGGGTAAGTTATAGTAATGGGCGAAAATCGAAAATGAAAATTTTTAAATATCTTTACGTTTCAGAGGTTTCTGAATATTTTGGCATACCTTAAAAAAATGGATGTATGCGTGTGTGTATGTGTGTGTGTGCGTGTGTGTGTGTGTGCATGCGGATACAAATTTTCGTCGACGATTTCGGGCGCATTGATCAACGAAATAAAGAGTGCAGAAAATAGAAGTTAAGATTTTGAGAGAACGCTGCATCCGATTTGAATGATTCAAAAACCATTCGATTCGTATAACGATGGGGAGAAGTGATAACTACTTTTGGCAAAGTCAGTCTCAACAGTTTCAGAGATAATGAGTTAAAATTGTAAAAAATGATAGTTTTTAAGAGAACAAAGTATCCGATTAGATTGATTTAAAAAAAACATTTTGCATGTGAAGAAACAATTAGTTTTTGAGAAAAACATTCTAAAACTCACTTAAATACTTCTTCAAATGAATAATTTTAGCTTTGCAATTCAGTTTATATAATTCTTATAAATATTTTTCTTATAAATGTTCTTCATTTTAAATATGATTAATTAAGTTTTGTTCATTTACTTTTCATGTGAACTTATATAAACGTAGTCGTCCAATTTATACATTTTTACATTTTGTCTATAAAATATGAATAATAAAAGTTACAGCATTTATAATAATCTATTTGAAAACATTTAATATTCCTCGAATTCTTACTTCATCACAGTACGGGAAGTTCCAGCAATTTGCCTTGAGGCACAATGCCATATACTGTAACACATTACATATTTACATTATCTATTTGCATATTTATATTTTAATTTTTTACAAACTTTTCGAATAAGATTGTTTTGTCAGAAAATATATATTCCAATATGTTCCAAGTTTTTGCTTTACTGCAGAGTTTGTAACTTACAATTAGAAAGAGAATAACCATTGGGTTGCCTTTAAATAAAAATGGACTTCACTCAAATAGTTAAATTACCACAATTTTTATCATTAGTAAAAATTATCCTCACATTTATACAATATCAAAATTTTGACTACTTTCAAAAAAAAAAAAAATTGAATAAGCTCACAAAGCAACTCATTATCTATATTGCAACATAGTCATATTTTTGGAAAAAAATATTAAAATTTGTTTGTTTGTTTCTTATATAATCATTTCACAAATCTGGAGAGTATACATTTCATTATATTAAAATTATACGCTTCGACCTTTTCACTTGGAAATATCGATAGCATTAAGTTTCCAAGTAAATATAGCACTCACCAGACATTGCTACATTAATAAATACTAGCCATATTACAGAAAGTTAAGAATAATTAAGTCAAATCAGCATAATAGGACCTTTAAGTTTTAATTGCAGTTCAGCTTTTAAATTTGAAAATTTGTACTTATGATTGAAATCTCTAAAATATCCAATAATTTGATTTGCATATGTCTAATGACTATTTTTGACTGCCAAATGGTGTTTTTTTTACTATTTTTATTGGATCTATGAAACCGCTGGATTTGCCTTTTCCAAAATTTAGTCAAATTTTCATTTCATCAATACAAGTTAAATACTTTTTAAATGATTCAAATCGGTTGAACCGTATTCCCGAAGTTGTCGACGAAAATTTGTATCCGAACACAAACACACACACACGCACACACACACACATACATCCATTTTTTCTGTAACTATAAACGTATGTAACCACGTAAAGAAATGCAAAAATTTGGATCTCGATTACTATAACTACCCTACGGGAAGTTAAAATATTATGTAAATCTTCTAAATATACTTCTATTTTTTAAATTATAGGTAATTTTCTTCAACGTATCTACCCATTGATGATACCACCACTAAAGTTCTAATCTTAGAATGACCTCGTGTCCTCCTACCTTCTTGTTCTTGTTCTTGTACTTCTGTATTGGATGGATGAATGAATGAATATTTGAACGTTTTCTATTTTCGTTCGACAAAGGAGTGTTGAATGCGACTTCTCCGCATTCTCGCCATGAATCTAATAAGATCTCATTTAGACTAATAGTAAATAATGATATAGGAGACGGATCACTTGGACGGGGACACGTGCAGGGATTGAACTAAGGAAAATTCAATCAAATTGAAAAATAGACGTTGGAAACGTAGTTTTATTAATTACTAGGTAGATAGGACTGTGTTATCGATTATTCAATTTATATAAGCTTATATAACTTAGGTTATAAAACTTACGCCCTTACAGGCGTGGAATTTTTTTTTTTTATGGAAAACATCATGATTCATAATCTTCAGAATACTTAAAAATTGATGCTTTTTAAGGGGTATTCTAGTGTAGAGGCAGAATTTTAGGTAATTGTTAAGTTTAAGTTTCTTTTTTGACTATTATTTTTTTTATTATTTATTTATCAACGTTGCAAGGGCACAGAAATTATTTTTTTTAAATAAGACGAGAAGTGGTTAATTTTAAAAAATTAACACGTGACCCTGGGTTTCAACCCTTCTAGTGATCCAAAAAGAAAAAAAAATTAGATTTTAATCTAGAATGAGGTTGCAATGGCATATACTAAGATCGAGTCAAAAAAAATTTTTGACTAATTGATGACTATTTTTTTTAAAAAAGGACCATTTTTTCTTACCACTCTTTTGAGTTTCTAAATTTTTTTAAAAATATCAAAAATTGAAATTTGGGGCTGAGGCTAGTATATATACGAGGTCTGTTCAAAAAGTACCCGGAATTTTCGTTTTTTCAAAAAAATATTTATTTATTCGTCTACATTAATGTGGTCCCCTTCAAAGTAGTCCCCCCCAGATATAATACACTTATGCCAGCGTTTTTTCCAATTTTCGAAGCACCCTTGATATTCACTTTTTGATATGTCCTTGAGCACTCTCAGCGATTTTCTTCAATCGAGGAAAACCGCCGTCCTTTCATGGGTCTCTTCAACTTTGGGAATAGGAAAAAGTCACACGGAGCCATATCTGGTGAATTTTTGCACTTTGCAACACTTTATTTCATTTTTTACGCAAAATTTAATACAAATTCTTTGACTTTTCAATTCTTCCATTGTAAAAATCGCCGAGCTCAGAAAAACACGTCGAACCTTAGCGACTACCACAGACAAAGTAAACAGTGAATATAGCTGAAAATTTCATCATACTTTAGGGGCATGTATACCAACACAATAAAAAAAAAATTTGACAATCAGACACTCCAGACCCGCGAAATTTAATTATTAGTAATTCCGGGTACTTTTTGAACACACCTCGTATGCTCGAGAGAAGCCTAAAGAGAAAATTCTCTGAAAATTTCAGATGTGCAGTAGAAATTGAGAAATCGTGGGCATCGTATTGATAAAGAGCGTTTTGAGGAAAAACGCGTTTAAAATTTCCCAAAAGGAAGGAAACAGATGAGGATTATCATGGTCAAACAGTAGTATCTCTGAAAATAATTTGAATTTTTAAAAATGCTCTCGTACACATATTTTTAGTTACACTTTGAAAGTTACATTTTATAAACTGATTATAGTAATTTTAATCTATAGTAATATAGAAATATAGTAATAATATAATTTATAACAATATTAGTTCATCGACATTTTCAAAATGTGCCCATGTTTTTCCAGAAATTTACTTTTATATGCCACAAAACCACTAATTTTATATTATTTAATAAAACATTGCTCATGAATTCACTAACCTATTATTTACATAAATTAATTCAAATACACTATGCTTAAATTTATTAGATTTTTTTTTTTATAATACTTCTAACAAAATCGATACAATATATAACTAGAAAGAGAATAATGTTTCCCAACTTTTTACCCATCTGTACATTAAAAAAAATGTACAAGTAAATTTCCATAAAAAAAATTTAACTTTTTTACAAATCTGTTATATACCAGACTCACTCACAACTTAATTTGAGCGGAATTTAATAAAAAATGTTAACTATGATTTTTTTTTAATTGTTATTTATTTTCAACTTTTTCAATTAACCTCATTGACAATAATCCTCATACAATATTCGTTGTCCGATTTTCTTGGGATATTGTCATGATTTTAGAGATAATTGACTTTGGGGGCGTCCATTAATTACGTGAGGTTTTTAGGTGGAGGGGGGGAGTTCGCCAAATTAGACGTGACAACGCTGCACTCATTTTTCTAAGAAAATATTACATTATTTAAAAATTCTTAAAAATCGATCACGTGATTAATGGACGCCCTTTTATGGGTTATGGGTCCTGCGTTGGAAAACACTGACAAAGAAAAAAAAATAGTACAATATCAATGTAATTTATTATTGACATATACTGCTATTTTATCTTTCTCCAATGCAAAAATATTATTTTTTATAAATTTTCTATAAATTTTTTTATTACATTTCTATGTTGTTCATTAGAAGTTCATTTTTAAGTTGTCTTTATTACTTATTTAATTTCCACCTTATGGTGTGAGTATCAAATTTATTATTATTGCTGCTTTTTATTTGTTCAATCCAACAATAATTTTTTTAAATAAATTTTCTATAAATAATTTTCCTTCTTTTCCAGATCTAGTACACTGCACAAACGAGCCAAACGTCTCGATACCCCAATTAGCAAATTTACTGGTCGAGAGGTCGCAGAACACGAATTGGGTCGTAGTCTACAAAGCACTAATCACGGTACATCACATGCTAGCATATGGTAATGAGGTAAGTAATCTGTAATTTGAAACAATTCAACGATTAATCATTATAATAATAGTTATTAATAATAGTTAATTATGTGCTCTATGTCACGAGACTTGGAAGGAGCATGTAATTAAAGCTCCTTCAATCTGGTTGCTCCTGCCTGTTTGAGCTTTTGTTGGTTCATTATGAATAGTATTATTTCATTGGTGGAATTTGATGCTTTTGAGCTTTATGAACTACCCTCATAGATTCATTCTAAGTATGGAATATTATTTCATTTATCTTTTATTATAAATTATTTCTATAGCTGCACTTATTCCATATGAAACATCAGCAAATTTTTGGTAGTGCATAGAATGCCTAAATCCAATGCCCAATACTGTGATAGGATGTGAATTCTTGCATCAATTCTATCTAAAAATGGCAAGTAACATTTTTCAGAAGGATAAGTTATAGTAATCGCCAAAAATTGAAAATCAATATTTTCGCATATTCTCACGTTTCAGAGGTTTCTGAACATTTTGGCTTACCTTACAAAAAATGGATGTGTGTGTGTGTATTTTGTGTGGATACAAATGTTCGTCCACGATTTTGGGTGCACGGATCAATCAATTTGAAATATTCAAAAAACATTCCATTCCTATTAATAGGGAGATGTACTGATTAGTTTTTGGCAAAGGCAGGTCTAGCCGTTTTGAAAATACGGAGTAAAAGTGCATAAATTAAAAATCGAGTTTTTGAGAGAACGGTGCATTCGATTTGAATGATCCAAAAAACATTCAAATTGTAACGATGGCGAGAACTAGTGATGAGTTTGTGGCAAAGGCTGGACCAGCCGTTTTGGACATACGGAGCTAAATGTACAAATAATGGTACTTTTTGAGAGAACAAAGCTTCCAATTTGAATGATTCAAAAAACCCTTTTAAAGGAAAACATTGTTAAAAAAGTTAAAAAAAATTTTTTTGAGTATCGAAAATATTTCATATTTCAATTTTAATTGTAGCTAATATTCTAAAGCTCATTTATATACACGAAATAAATATTTTAACTTTACAATTCCGTTTATATAATTCTTAGAAATATGAGATAAGGTCCTTCATTCTAACTCCGCTTGATTAAGTTTTGTTTATTCACTTTTCATGTAAACTTATATAAACGTCATCGTCTCATTTATAAGCTCTTATATTTTGTCTATAAAATATGAATAATGATAGTCACAGTATTTATAATGATATATTTGAAAACATTTAATATTCTTCTAATATTTCATTATGGAACGAGAAGTTCTAGCTATTTGGCTTAAGGCACAAGGCCATACACTACTAGTTTTGTTTTATCGACGTTTCAAACCATTCTGAACAATTCTGAATCGTTCGAGACCAAATTTGGAAAAAGTATGTGTGTGCCTGTTTGTGAACAGACTTTTCTACCTTTCGTCGACGTTTTCTCAAAAACGGCTGGACCGATCTCAAAAATTTAAAAGCCATTCGATGTATCTCAATGAAGATTGTGGTTGGTCAGATTTGCGCGACGATCAGCAGAGCAGTTTCTTTGTAATTAGAAAAAAGTGTAAATTCTTTTGCTTATAGCTTCTGCAGCTTCTCTTTAATTTCAATTTTTTTTAATATTTCTCGATTTTTTCTATTTTTTTTGCATAATTTTTAATCTAATTTTTTTTTTTTATTCCAGCGGTTTACACAGTACCTCGCTTCGAGCAATTCCTCATTTCAACTTAGTAATTTTTTGGATAAAAGTGGAGTCCAAGGTGGTAAATATATAATCAGAAAATAAACTATTAAATTAATTTTTGTTTATTTCTAATAAGTTACACTGTTTCTACTAACAAAAACATCATACGAATACTAATGTTTTAAAAAAAAAGAAAAACAAATTCATTCAAAAATTAACATTGATTTTTCTAAATTGCTTTTCAAAATTCGACATCAGATTAAAACAATTTATTTAACAATACCATTAATAGAATAATATTTATTAACACGAATGATTTTTCTGTTCCCGCTCACATAAGGAGCCGTTGGGGCTAAAATTGGTAAGTTGATTTACTAACAAACTAACAATAATAAAAATTTCATAGTTATAATAAGGGCCAATTCTCGGATAAAACAGAAATGTTATGTTACGGGTCTGAATTCGCATGAATTGGTAGTCACTGACTGTCAAAAAGCTATGCCTTTGCTGTTTGATCACATAAAACCTAATCTACAAAACGCACAAATGTAAAATATCAATTTTATTATAAGTGCATCTTTCTGTTCTGCCTTGATAACATATACGTGAAGTTGGGTTTTTATGTATATAACGCCTGATCGCTCAGCAAATACATAGCTTTTTGACAGTTTACTACCAACTCATACGAATATAGACCCGTAACTTAGCATTTCCATAACATTTCTATTTTATCCGAGAATTGGCACCATAAATTGCTTTTAAAAATATGTTCTAAACAAGAGGGTTCACAAATGTTAATCCAGGGTTGAATTCTGGGTGGCTGTCTGATTCAGATTCTTATTAACTTCATTTTTGTTTTAATATTTAGCTTTCCCTGGGGTTAGCTATAGTAATCGCAAAAAAATCGAAAATGAAAATTTTTATGTCTTTACGTTTCAGAGGTTTCTGGTCATTTTGGCGATACCTTAAAATTTATGTACGTGTATACAAAATTTCGTCGACGATTTCGGGAAAACCGGTTAACCGATTTGAATCATTCAATAAAACATTCGATTCGTATTGATAAGAATACGTGCTGATTAGTTTTTGACGAAGGTAGCTAGACCTACGTTCCGAAGATACGGGGCAAAAAGTGCCAACTCACAAAATTTTGGGAAGGCAGGGTTAGCGGTTTCGGAAATCTAGTAAAAAGTAAAGAAAATGCCATTTGCCGGTCAAAAATAATCATTAGACATATGCACATCAAATTATCAGATATTTTATGGAGATTTTGATAATTACACATAAGGAAGGTGGAAGTTCCAGCAATTTTCTTTAAGGCGCTAGTTTTAGTCTTAATTCAATACTTTGTTTTATTTTTGTTTGATTTTTTCGCCTTGATTCACCTTTCTTTCAACCAACAAGTATTTACCAGAATTCTGTATTCGATCCTGGATCAGCATTTGTGAACCTCCTTTGTTTTTATAAAATATGGCTATGCGTTTCGTTTTCTATTTACAATTTGGTAATCATACGTAATTTAATTAACTTTTAGTTTAATATTTTATTTTATTTAATCATTTGTTTTTTTTTTCATCAAACAATGGTTTTAATCTCATGTTTTTTTCTGGTTTGGCATTTGTTGATATTTTTAAAAATTTTTAGTTTTAAAGTTAAATAATTGACATAATATTTTAATACATTCTTTATCAATTTTTTTACCTGAACCTTTTAAAATTGTGTACTTCAATTAATATATAGAATAAATAATGTTTCAAACTATTTAAATATATTCTACTGATAAATTTTACTCTCACGTTCGGAATCTGGTACGTTATGTATGTTTTAACATTTTGGTTCCAATTAACAGTAATAAACATACGTAAGATAATGTCTTCTCATTTATTAAATTAATTTTCAATAATTATTTTCTCTAGGATATGACATGTCTCCGTTTATAAGGCGATATGCCAAATACCTGAATGAGAAAGCTTACTCATACAGGACAGTCGCATTCGACTTCTGCAAAGTTAAAAGGGGGTAAGTAAGATAATTTCAATATTGTCTTCATTCTTTAGAATAGTCGATAAAATTCGCTTATCAGAAAGCATTTCTTTATAACCAGAAGCCGATACTGCTACATACTCCTATAACGCGGTACTTTTACAACGCGGTTTTCGTTTAACATCATTTCATAAGTTCCTTCCGCACAGGCGCAATAACTAGATACTCATCACATCACAAAAGCGACTTTTGACGCAAATTTTGACTATTATATTTTTTTACAAACTTTGACTAATTTTTAAAATATGAATATGAACACTTTTTCTATCGATTTTTTTAATATCTTAACTGCAAATTTCTAGAATTTTAAGCTTAATGAATATCCAAAGCATAATCTATTTCCCCTTTTAGGAAAGATGAAGGTTCACTCCGCTCCATGCACGCCGAAAAACTGCTTAAAACCCTCCCTGTCCTGCAGCAGCAACTGGATTGCCTGCTGGAATTTGACTGCACATCAAATGATTTAACGAATGGAGTCATCAACATGTGCTTCATGCTGCTCTTCCGTGATCTGATACGTCTATTCGCCTGCTACAATGACGGCATCATAAATCTTTTAGAGAAATATTTTGATATGAATAAAAAACAGTGCAGGGATGCATTAGATCTGTATAAGAAATTCCTGGTTCGAATGGACAGGGTTGGAGAGTTCTTGAAAGTAGCAGAGGTAAAGAAAAACTACTGAAATACTAGATTAACTGAATATTGTCTACTTCTTAGTAAAATACTTTTATTATCCTTCTGCAACCTATTCCTAACTGGTTCCTAATTACTACTATTTGCTTTGCAGAATGTTGGTATTGACAAAGGAGACATTCCAGATTTGACAAAGGCTCCCAGCTCACTTTTAGATGCTCTGGAGCAACATTTGGCTTCATTAGAAGGAAAGCGAGGAAGCGCTGCCAATACTCCTACACAAACAGCGAGGTAAAAAAATTTGAAAAGACCATTTAAGACACTATATGCGGGGCGGGTAAAAATACCCGTTTCGAGGACTGGCGCGGGTATTTTTACACGTTTGATTGTTACTAACTTTAAAATAGGTTTACATGTGATACCAAAAGAGTTTGAGCTGGTGGTTTTTGTTTAGATTCAATTGATTTCTTTCGTTGACTTCGTTCTTTGCTTGTCATTTTGCAGTAACCAAAAGAATGTGAAAAGTGGCGTGACTGCATTAAGTTCGACATCAAATGCTTTTGGCAGTGCAGCACAAAGTTCTCGTCTCGAAAATTCCAATGGTATTGATGAGAATCTCAGGCAACAGGCTCTTGCTGAAGAGGAAGCTGCTATGAATCAATATAAAGTATGTTTATTAAATGGAATTAGATTTTTCTAGTCGTGTTAAAAAAAATTTTGGTTAAGTCAATTTTCAACCTTACCTAGAATGCCACTTACACCTAGTTCTATTCACCTTCTTTTCTATTTCCAGTCAAAACTTCAGAGTCCGACAAATTCAGCCGGAGCAAACTCGAGCACGAATCCCTTCCTCTCGTCGCCAGTATCGTCTCAGCCACCTGCTTCGGCAGCTGCTCCCATAGTGGATCTGTTTGGTCCAGCTCCACCGGCTTCCACTGGACAGAATGGAGGCACCGTATCGGGTAAACCAAGTGACGATCTGCTGCAATTAGGAAATCCATTTGCTGATATGTTTGGACCGCCACAGCCCGCAGTTTTACCGCAGCAGCAACAGCAGAACAATATGTGGACTAATGGTAAACTGGGGGAAAATATTAATGGATTAGTAACTTAGATTATTAACAACCGGCGGAGAAGTTTGTTTTTGGCAGAAAATCTGATTCTTAATCGTTTGAGATCTAAATGAATTTGTGTTTGTGAGTAGATTTTTGACTTTTTGTCGACGTTTCCTTAAAAACTGCTGAACCGATTTCAAAAATTCAAAAAACATTCGATGTAACATGATGCGACGATCGGCCAAGCTGTTTGTTTACAATTAGCAGAAAAGTAAAAAAAAGAACAATCTAAGTATTGATACAATCTGGTATTTGTGCTGATTAGTTTTTGGTAAAGATCTGAAGAGCTATTCTTTTGTAACCATTTGTTGCAATTTTTTTATGACGATTTCGATGAATCTTTATATGACGATAGGTTTTGTAGTTTGAAATAATATACTAAAATATTATAGGCCTACGTTCAGCGGTTGAATTATAAAAATTCATCAAAGTTTAGAATTTCGCTGCGCGCTTGAGCGTCCTGTGTTTTGTTCGTAGCTACTGATTACAGTTGGCGGCCACTCTTGAATAAAATACATTTTTAGAGTTCAAAATGGATGAAATGAAATGGGATAAATTAATTGAGTTTATGAAATTATTGATCATTTAAGTATGTTATAAGAAAGACATTACATGCAAATTGTATTGATCTTTTAGTTATAATAAAAATTTTATTTTCTAAATGAACAGGTGAACAGTTTACCAAAATATCTGAATTTCAATTTTTTTTAAGTTGATTAGATCTACATATTGGGAAATTTATACGTCTTGCCTCAAGAGAAAATGCCCTTACGCCCAGTTTACTTATTATTTTGCTTTTTCAGGTTTCTCTCAGCAAACAACAACGAATAGCTTCGTATCAGACAGCAACTTTTCATCAGTTTTTGGAAATTCAGAAACTACAGGTAAGTTTTTTTTACTGCCTTGAACTTATTTAGAATCTGAACACATTATAAATATTCTAACAAAATCGTATGTGGTTTTTTGTGTCTTACTGAATTCTAAATGTACACTAGTCTATATAAATAGCATGTAGTAGTTGATCGAAACTGATGTTTCTGATAACCTTCTTTAGTTTAATGTGATTCTTTAAACTTAATGCAAATACTAAGTCTCCAAGAATTTACCACCAAGATTTACAGCATCACATTAAAACGATTTCCAAAACAACTTTCTCACAAGTTAGTTTTTGCAGAATTTTTCTTTGTAATTGGTGCGATTAGTTGCCAATTACCTTAATGCTTGGTTCAGTTTTTTCTGCAAAAACTTTTAACACTTCTGTCTACTGTCTGAAATATGAATTTTCCTAAACAGTGTTGTCTTAACAATTTTTGATTAACAAATTTTCTCGTACTATTTTTTTGCATGCAACACTAATATGTTTATTGACTTGAGACTAACGCTCCAAATACATTCCACAAACCCACCTATTTTATAAAAGAAACAATATTATTGTCAAAGATAACGGTCTTTCAGCACCACAATCAAACGATTCTGTCAATACGAGCAATTAGTTTATAAACTCAATTATTATTACAAATATCCAATTATCTATCACCATCATCGCGCGTTCTGTCCAATTTTTACCGTAAAACCAAAAATTTTTCCAAGCCGCTAACGAAGGACTAGTGCAAGAAGACCAACAGAATCCGTTCTCCGGTGGCGACCAGATGGGTGCTCTATCCCAACAGTCCCAACAGGAACAGTTCCAAATGTCCCAAACTAATTTCCAACAGCAACAACAGCCTCCCCAATCCAATTTCCAACAACAGCAACAATCGCCGAAGCCTAAGAGCGCCGTCGACGATTTGAACGACTCGATCAGGATGGCGCTCGGAGGCGGATCTCCGGCCAGACAGCCGATGATGTCGCCGGCGAGACAGATGACAGGTCCAGGAAAATGATTTTGAAACGACAAATCACTGTCTGTGCCTGGTCTTTTTTTGTTTTTGATATTATGTTGAGTTTTGCACCTGGGTAAAAATGGCTCTGAATTTCAAAAAAGATTGTTAGGAGGGACAACCTTTAAATATTTTTGGACGTAAATTTAAGGTTTGGCATGAGTTTAAGAAAATCTCGATCGAAATTCTGTGAAATGCATTCATTAAAAAGCGGGATGAAAAATTTTCTGATTACTTACACTATTGCGAAATAGAGGTTTACGGTGGGAGGGTGAAAATTTAGGGATGTATGTTTTTTTATTACGAATTACAAAATAAAATTAAAAAGAGTGTGCGTAAGGTTCACACGCGATTAAATTAAAACTGTTTTGCTATCGTAGGAAATGGCATTTAACTTCAAAATAAATACTTATAAACTCAAAACCATATAACAATTTTGAATGTTTATTAGTAATGTGGTAACACTCGCAATGCACACATTTTTTATGTCAAACATTATATATATTTAAATAATAAAAATTATGAATTACATATTTATAATACCACTAAAAATATTTATAATATTTGAAAACAATGTAATTAAAGTCATACTTCAAATATGATATGATCGGTTTGTCATTGTAATTAGCTTCTACGACCTTTTATTAGAGATATGAAGTAATTGCTGAATAATAAATTCCATAATATTCGTTCACTCAGTGAACTTATAACAATCTTTGCTCTTGTAAGCTTTTGACATTTGAACGAGAACAGTTATTTCACTTACCCTGTAATTAAAATTAACATACATTCATTGACTGTTTGTTTTTTGGACTATTTCGCTGGCGATACAGTCTCATTCTTTGAGCAGCTGCAGTATGTGACTTGCCTATAAAAATAATTTCTAAAAATATATAGTAACCACGAATAATACAAATAATTTCAATAAACTTATCTTTCTTACACGGCACAGATTTTTCATTTGTTTTATTATTTTCACTATACAATCAAAGCAATCATACTCACTCGACACGATGACCAATCACAATCGACCTGTATAGAAATGATATCATCGAGAGCTAATGACGAATCATTGGCACTCGACTCGAGCGTAACGGACTTCCGTTGCATTTTCACAGATTTACGCGCTAGTGGCGCCTAAACAAGTTTTAATTCAAAAATTGTTCCAAAAAATAAATTTTAGGGGTGATCAACCCTCATCACATTAGGGTATGAAAAATAGATATTTGCTCATTCTCAGTCATACCAAACGCGACTATAAAATTTTTACCATTCGCCAAATGTGAGCCTATCTTATAAATAAGTTTAATACTTCAAGTATTTATATATAATGTTTTCAACCTAATATGTGCAAAACTCAATGTAATGAACATCAATATTTTTTGTTGCAAATACAAGTTAGATTTTAGAATATTCGTAGCCTGATGTTCGTTCGTTGCTTGGTTGTTATATCATGTTGACATGCATTATTTTTTCTATCAAAGAAATACTTTCCACATTTTTGGTTATTTTTAATTTCGCAAAATCATTTAGATCGATAACCATGAAGCAGTAAAGCTACAAGGATTGCCAACGACGTAAAACTAGATCACATATCCCAATTCCCTGAAATCTTTACTAAAAAGTGTTATTAATTTATATTTTATTACTAATTTTTACTAATATTTACTAACATTTACTAATTTTGTTAAAATTTAATAATTTTTGTGCATACATTTTTTAAAACTACTTTTAAATTTAACAATTTAAGTTTACAAGTTTATGGTTTGGTGCAAGTTATGTTTATAATAATTTTGTACATTTATTTATATATTATATTTGTGTACATACATATCATAATGCTGATATACGTTTGTGATGATACATTTTGCAAGTTTTCAAATCTTCTGTTAAATTGACGATTATTTTCTTATCCTTTTGATTTCAATTATTTGATCACAAACATGTATCAATTCCCATCAAAGAATATGTAAAGTTTTTATATAGATAAAATATAAGTACTGCATGCAACTTTATTTTCAGCTATAAATTAAAATTTTGCATATTCTTAGTAATAGAGAAGTCTCTGAGAGCAATTTTCGAGTAGATTCATACATTTGTGTTTAATTTTTTGAAGAAAAAAGAACGTTATATGACTCATTTTACATTTATAACTTTATAAGTAAAGCGAATTGAGATTATAGCTTTAACATTACAACGTTACATTAATTACTAATTTAAATTTAAATTCATGGCATGAAGGATATTTTATTTAAAAGAAGTGATCATATATTTTTGACTTAGAGATCTTATTTAGATATTGATCAATTTGAATCAGAAAAGGCATGAAATATTTTTTTCAAAAATGTCATACCCTAATTTTATTAAACAAGAATTGTAGTAGTATTTTATATCATATTTCACTTTCTGAAGCAAATTTATGAATTAATGTTTAATTTCCAATTAAGTTAACATCAGCATTAATTTTTGAACTGTTTATCTTTGGATTAACAATATTATTTTTTAATAATATATATTAATATATTAGTTTTATAGATTCTTTACTAGAATAAAACTTCATAGATCATGAATTACTATACAATGTCGAATCGATATTTTACTATTGTTTAAATTCAAGGAAATCTTCTTTGAAACCAATTATGATAACCATTTTTGACTTCTTAAAGAAATTAAAAATAAAATTTTCGTTGGAACGAAAAGAATATAAAAAATCTTATTAGACTTCAAAATGTTTTATGCAAAAATAACAAAAACAGTATCAACAAAAGGAATGATGCTTCTTTCCTTTTTTTTAAATCAGCGCTTAATATACATATATCAGGTTGGGGAAAAAGGAATCCATTTTTCGGTTGATGGTTGTACTGATAGATTTCTAGAAAAAAATAGTACTGATAGAATTTTTTTTTGCTATTTGGTGCATTCAGTTATGAGTTGCAGAATGTTAAAAATGGAAGTGAACAAAGAGAAAAATCGGTACATTTTACAGTTTTTCTGTGACAAAGGTGAAAATGCAAGCCAGACAGCTGTATTTGTGAATGGTGTCTATGATTCCGATACTGTAACAGCACAATCATGTGCAATTTGGTTTCGTAGATTCTGTTCGGAAATTTTTGGTGTTAGCCCTTTCCACTCGGACTCATTCGCGAGATGAAACGGTTAGAGATGCACTTTGCACTGGTAGATCGAAAATGTCGAAAATGTCGATAAAACCAGAGAAATGATCAAACTTGACCGGCATGTTAGCAATCCTAACATAGCCCAGAAACTAAAAAGCGACCATAAAACAACTTTAAACCAATAAACCAAAAATAATGGATTTTTTTCCCTCAACCGGAGCTAATAAGTCTTTCATGAAAAGTGTTCTGCGTGGATGTAACGATTACCTTGGTAGAAAATATAAATAATACTCGTAAATTTTGCTCTCATTCAGACCATCATCTATGAACTCATTTATCCACCCATATCCATCTATCCATCCATTATCATCGGTGTCTTTTTTGTTTGTTTTATGTTTTCCTCGGGGTGTGTCATATTATGTCAACTCATCACATCGCATTTCGCAATTATTCCTACTACGGTTGGCTATCACTTCTCGCTATCTGTGTTGTGGTATCATTGTAAAAATGAATGTGGTATCTGTTATGAAACGCAAAAATGGCGAAATGGCATTTGCGCGGATTCCGAAATATAAATAAATAAAAAAGAGGGATTCGACGCAATGGGAGATGTATTGCGTCCGTCAATGAAAGCGAATCAAAACGCAGGTACGAACCAGGCCGGAGGAGCGCCCGGAGCGCCTGGACAGGGACCAGCGGCCGGAGGCAATCAGACGGGGAAGGTGCTCACTGGTGATCTGGACAGCTCGCTGGCGTCGCTGGCGAATAATTTGACGATTAACAAGAGTGCGCAGGCGCAAGTCAAGTAAGTAGTAGTAAAGGATTTATGTATGTATATTAGGGTGGTTCTTAATATGGATGTTTTCGAATTTCCTTGCTCCCAGGGGCTCAAAATGCTTCAAATTGATAAAATACAATTCTCTGAAAGTTTTAGCTCTTAATATTAACTTTAAGATAGTCCGCACTATACATTCAGTGAAAAACATTCATTAATTGAAAGATTACTAACATGACTATGGCAAAATAGGGCTTTCTGGTAGGAGGGTGAAAATTTATTTTGTGTATTTTAATTACGACTTAAAATAAAAAAAAAAATAATGCCAGAAAGAACGTTGTCCAAAAAAAACGTCGTTATAAAATTACCTGAAAATTGGTCAAACAGTTTCAGAGTAGAAATTCAAAGAACATTGATTTTGTAAAATTTAAATTTGAATATTTCTAAATTACAAAACTATGTATTTTAATAAATCTTCAATTCATTATGATTCTCAAACAACACACTATAATATTAATTATGAATGTTAGTATCAATTTCTGTGCAAATCCAACTTCAATTACCATTCCATTATCATTTTTACTATTTATTTTATCATTTTAGGGGCGTAGCTTGGAACTCTCCCAAGAACTCAGCGAAACCAGGATCAACGGGCTGGACCCCACAACCGATGGCAGCCACAACTGGTGCAGGATACAGACCTATGGTAAAAATCAGTTAACTATAAACGATATCTGTAAATATTATTATAAAATTTGGCATGAGCTAAATTTTCACAATGCATTATTTGATCTTTGCTTTTTTAAAAGAAATCTATTATTTGACAATATTCTACTGTTGTCGAAGTAGCACTTATCGTTTTGTAAATATTTTCAAACGATTTTGATATTAAATATGTGGCATGTTGTAAATGTATGATTTTGGCACTGTGATAATTAAACACAAATTAGATGATTCATAAATATGAAATTTATAAATATTTAGTGCAAATTGTTACTGGGTTATATTGTTGATGAAGTAATTAACCTGTGGCATTTTTGCCTAGGAACTTTGTGTGTGTGTGTGCCTAATTTTAAAGGTTTTTATTAAACCAAAATAAAATTTTTATAACACACCTGGAGCAAATTTCCAATTTATATTATTTAATGTTTGGGCTAATTTAAATTACATAAAAACTAATTTTAATTCAATATTGTGATGAACGACAAAAATGTGTAGTAAATTTAATAACACTGCTATTGATATATAATTTGTGATAGTAGACTCACATTTTATATGATGAAGGAAATGCTATGAACAGATCTTATGAATAAAAATATTCAAATGTTTTCCTGGGGTAACCAATATTACAAATTATTAAGTATTTTTAACCAAATTATCGTCTTAAGCACTATTCCTAATTTTACTTTTCAAGTCTAATAACTACAATCACCAGTCAATTAACTAAATAATGATTTTTTCTGCAAAGTATCACCAACTTTTGCTTTTTATCTCTAGAATAAAAATGATTCTTATTTATTGAATTATTATCTAAACTAGTGCTGTATGATTTTGTGCTTCAGGATAAATTGCTGGAAATTATCAAACAAAGAAGCAAGCACTAAATTTTTTAAAAATCCAATTGCTAATGAATATATGGAGCATTTTAATGCATTTTTGATAAATCATTTTTCTTTTTTTTATCATGATCAAATATATATTTTCTTTGAGTATTAAATTTATAGACAGAACAGCTTGTTGTTGTGTATAATTTTGATTAAGAAGGTATGTTTTTAGTTCAAATAATAATAATAGTTTTGTTCGAAGACATTTAATATATATTCAATATTAAATATTTTTTGGGTCCTTTCTTTCATATTGATTCTCTGGATTTTTTTTCCCTAAAATGTGTCATCCTTGGGTCAGTGTTTCATTAGTTTTATGAAGAAATATTTAGAAGAAATGTAATACTATGCAGAATATAAAGCTTATATATAATTTTTATATAATATAATTAAAAGTGCACAGCTTAATTACTGCCAAACAATAAACCAAACAAACAAAATCAACTCCTCAAAGCATTTGCCAAAGTTTAGCTTTCCTTATCATGCACTCTAAAATCTTTATTATAATTCCTTAATGCCATTTATTATTTATTTATATTTTAATATTGATATAATTTGATTTATTGTTTCTTTATTGCATTGAATTGCATTTTGCTTGCATGTTTGTTTATTCTTTTTCGTTTTCGGTGATTGTTGTGTATAGGGTCAGGGCATGCCCTTACCGCCTGTGATGCACTCGCCACCGCCAACACTTGTGATGCCCATGGTGGGCCTGGTGAGTAGATTTATTTACTAATTGTATTGTTAATAATAATAGACATAGTAAAGCATTCTATCAATCTGAATAATAATCATAATAAAATGTATTTTGCCCAAAGGCAGGATGGTGTGAGAGCACATCAAAATCAATGATTCCTCTTTCTTTCCTCTCTTGTTTATTATTCCCATTACCAATTTCACTTTTCCAATCATTTTCATACATTTTCGTTTCCAAACTTCTGCTTCCATGCTTCCTGGTCCTTTGCTTTGGCTGTAAGTTTCCTGTATTTTCTCTTCTTTGCCTATCATCAACCATTTGGATTCTTCTTCTTTCCTTCTAATTTACCATCGACGACATCATCTAGAAGGCACTCTTCTTGCAGAATGGGTTTGATCAGTAGAGTTTTATATTTACCCTTTCTTCTCTGGACTTTCCCATTTGATACCTTATCTGTCCACTTCATCTTCTCTATTCCTCTCTCCAGCACTACGTTTCAAAACCTTCCGGATAGTTTTTGTCTGCCTTTCTTCAGTCCATGTCTCTGATTCAAAATATTCTAAACCCATATCACAATTTAACATCTCAATCTTCCTATTTCCCCTTCCAGCAAGGTATGGCTGCCGCCGGAATGCGGCCGATGATGATGCCCCAGACCGGCGCTCCAGGAATGATGGCACCGCAAGGAGCCCCCGGCATGATGCCTCAGGCGATGATGGGAGCGCCTCAAGGAGTCAATTTTGGTAATCCTGCTGCAGCGGCTGGAATGCCGATGATGGGCATGGGGGCGCAGATGCAAACGACGAACAATCAGAATATGGCCAACATCCAACTGGATCCGTTCGGCGCATTGTAAAAAAATTAATTAAAAATGTACAGGGACTAGTAGGGGATGTGTGATGTAAGGGGAAAGAATTTATGGATTCAATGAACAGGTGAAATAAAAATAATAAAAAATAATTGGTTGTGTTTGTATGAAAAAGAACTGATTGTGAATGTGGAAGTATGTTTAGTATATAAGTGAAAGAAGCGACTAATACGCATTATATGGACGATTTATCTACTTCAACTTTTAGAATGGTTACATATAGATGTTTATGGGCCATATTATTGGTAATCATTGCAAGTGCCTTATTTGAAATTGATTTCAGTCAACTTGATTTGGCACTATTCAATGTTCAAAGTTTTTATATATTATTACCGCGCTTTTCATTAATTATTTAATTAATTTTCGAATTGCAAAGCCAAACATTCATTTTTGAATTTCATTGTGGCATGCCTAGCGAATCAAATGCAATTTCAAAAACTCGCAGCTTTGCCTTAGGTTTTTATGGTTTCTAGTACCCTCTCAAAAACTGTTGCATCTTCAGGTTTTAATATTCAATTTCTACATATTTTTTTGCTGAATTTTGAAAGAATTCACATACTCATTACTCTATATGATGTCACATCAGAGAGTGATTTTTCTGGTTTTGTAATCGTAATGTTTTCAGATATTTTAAAGCTTTTTAACCAATATGCTTTTCTGAGCATTTCATATAATATTTTTATGTTAGAAATATCATACCTTTTCTCTAAAGCTTTATGGATCAGTATACATTTTGTTTCTATGTAGCTAATACATTTTAGTTCAAAAAATTTTCTATTTGCTTGTAGCATCATCATCGTTATTAGTCACTATGAGCCTCTCTCTTTCACTGGTCATTTCATGTGATTAGTAATTGTGATTGATGAGTGATTAGAAGGATCTTTTTGAAATAATTTGATGCTTTAAAACTTTACTATCCATTTTCAATAACTTTATAGCAAATTTTGCCAGTTTATTCTTCAAAATCAGTGGAAAATAACCATTATATAATTATATTTTATACTGCAGTATCAAATTGTTCAATATAATACAAGCTTCCATAGCTGAGACTTCATCGTCAATTTCAAATGATGCCTAACTTTGTCTAAAATACATATCTTTTGGTAGAAATTCCTACAAAATTGTAGACATTTGTCACACCTTGAAAGTATAAACATAGTGCATCATTTTACAAGTGCAACATTTCAAAGTTGTTTTAACACTGGAATTATTGATACATTTGATATAATGCAAGCTTTATAGCCAATTTTCAAAATATTTTATTCCATTGACATTTTTGCAGGTGTACGTGGTCTGTTCAAAAAGTACCCGGAATTTTCGTTTTTTCAAAAAAATATTTATTTATTCGTCTACATTAATGTGGTCCCCTTCAAAGTAGTCCCCCCCAGATATAATACACTTATGCCAGCGTTTTTTCCAATTTTCGAAGCACCCTTGATATTCACTTTTTAATATGTCCTTGAGCACTCTCAGCGATTTTCTTCAATCGAGGAAAACCGCCGTCCTTTCATGGGTCGCTTCAACTTTGGGAATAGGAAAAAGTCACACGGAGCCATATCTGGTGAATTTTTGCACTTTGCAACACTTTATTTCATTTTTTACGCAAAATTTAATACAAATTTTTTGACTTTTCAATTCTTCCATTGTAAAAAATCGCCGAGCTCAGAAAAACACGTCGAACCTTAGCGACTACCACAGACAAAGTAAACAGTGAATATAGCTGAAAATTTCATCATACTTTATAGTCTAAGAGCCAGTGAACTATTTGACTAACCTGTTTTCACAAAGCCAGAAATTTTTTAATGATATTTTATTATCGGCCCATTAAGAAAGCACCATTCTGGCAGTCATTCCGCGGTTGCGTCATCATCCCTTCAATTTGTGAAAATGTAAAAAAACTGTTTTTATAACTTGCTCGCACAGGCTCAAATTTTGAGGGTGTCTTCTTTTAACTGTTCAGAAAGCATATGTAAAAAGCCAGCCCATTCTGACGGTTGCAAGGGTCTGCCAGACGAGTACATAATAGTCACGACGCGCAAGGGTGTGGGCGCATTGCCATACATAATTGACTAATACCCTTGTATTTGAATAATTAATACGCCATTTTGAAGGTCATTTTGAAAACATCCGTTATACCAAACTTCAACTTTGTATCTCACCTTATGGCCGAGATATCATTGAAATATGCCAAAGTGGCCCCTTTTTCAAACTCAATTTTGGCGTAACCATAAAAGATATCGAAAAAAAATTACATGATTCTACTTATATTGGCTTAAACCACATAATGTATAGTAATATATGCTAAATAATCCTTTATTATTAGCTAAAAAGGATAAAATAATTTTTCAATTAATGTTTTCGGATAGTGCGTTTTGTTTAATTACTTTATTATTAGCGTTATTTAAATGCTTATTGTTTTCTCTTTTAGTACTGCAAATATGGTTTAAATCAAATTTGTGGAACACATTGAAAAATTGAAGAAACCAGAACCAGTACACCCGCGCGTAACGCTGATAGTAGCCCGCATAGAATTCGTTCGGTCGGATAAGCGATGCGTTACGCGCGGGTGTACTGGTTCTGGTTTCTTCAATTTTTCAATGTGTTCCACAAATTGATTTAAA